CCCAAACCCCAAAACCCCAAAACCCCAAAACCCCAAAACCCCGCAGTATGTGAATGAGGGATTATAAAAGGGAGTTATAATTCATAATAATTTAAATAAAATTAAGATGTATTCATCTCATTCAGGTATGGGTGAAAACCTGGAAGATTTGAAACTGGAAGAGCTTTCTCAGAAGCTTGAGTCGATTGAAAAAGATAACGAGCAAATTAGACGTGAGAACTAGCTCTTTGAGTCATATATCCTCCGTAAGACTAAGGACGATAAGAGACTTGATGATGATTATGAGCAAGATAAGGCCAAGGGAAAGCGTAGCAAGAAGAATGCAGCTGATAAGGTACTAAGATTGACAGCAGAGCAAAAGTACGAAATTGCTAACACTGAACTTGAAACTTTGAAGGCAAATATCGAAGAGGGTAGAGAAAAATCGGAGACACTGCTCGAGAGACTTAAGGCTATTTTGGAAGGTACTGATCTTTCAATTGCTGAAATCAGAAAGGAGGCTTTTGATTTTGGTAGGTTTTTGAGTGCAGCTGAGAACGGTAGGACTGGCAAATATGATGCAGAGAAACTAATGAAGTATATGGAAGACAAGTTCAAGTCAAAGGACGCTCTTATCGATAAACTCCAGCTTAAGAATGTCTCTCTCAAAACCTAGATCATGAAGGCTGAGACTTAGATTAAGCACAAGGAAGAAATGGGAGATGACTTGAAGTTTATTGATTTCCATCAGTTGCAGATTGAGAATAAAAAGCATGTAAAGGACATTGATGAGAGAAACAAGAAACTTTTGCAACTCAAGCTGAACTCTGGTAAAACTGTTCAGACTCTCAATTCTCTAAAGAAAAAGCTGCAAGAAGCCATCAAGATGCAGGAAATGATAGCTAGAGATATGCAGATGAAAAAGATCAAGTACGAGAGAACCAAAGAGGATATTTCCAAGGCCAGAGGAGAAATCACCAAGGCTAAATATAACAACAAGCAGCAAGAGCAATTGCAACTGCAAATTCAAAACATGCCAGACCCTCTTAAGTTTGTAGAGCAAAAGAACGTCGCTGTAGATCTCAAAACTTCAGTCAAGAACTGGGAGAGAAAGATTGAAATTGCAGAAGTTGCCGCTAAAAAGGCTAGACTTATCATTAAAACAGCAGGCGAATATGTGGAGGAAATTAGAAGACCTGAATTTCTCGAAAATTGATAATTTAATTGATTTAACAATATTTTATTTCAAATTGAATTGCAAGCAGGGGTTTTGGGGTTTTGGGGTTTTGGGGTTTTGGGG